AAACTTTTGAGATCAAATTGCACAGTGGAGTAACTATGATGAATAATAAAAAATCCTGCCTGTTTCAGAGCTTTAAAGTCTTACCACAAAAGAATGAGTGACATAGTATTTTAATTAGCTTGATTTATTATTTTTCATCTCAAAAATAATGCAAATACATAAACCTGTTTTATGCTTTAGAGTGTAGCTTATTTTCCTTGACCATCCTACTTCGCTCCTCCACCCATTACACTGGTGCACCCACTTGTATTTTTCAGTTACTCTTCATGGCTCTGATTTTTTTTTTTTTTTTTTTTTTTTTTGTATTTTAGTACAAAGTCTATAGGGTCTCACCATGTCAATTGGACTCAGAGTGATCTGCCTGTGTTCAGCCTCCCAAAGAGGTGGGATTACAGGGCTCACCACCACACCCAATCTCAGTCACCCTCTCAGCTTGCCCTCGGGGTAGGGCTGGCACAGCATGCCCAGGATTGAACCCTGCTGCTATGCTGTGCCTAAGCAGGTACTTTAATCTGCTGAACTATTTGGCCTGCCCAGCTCTCTGATATTTGAACTGTGTCTAACACTCCCTATACTCTGAACTCCTTGAAGAGTTCTTTTATTGTTATTATTATTTTTGGGACAGCCTCTCACTGTGTAGTTCAGGCTGATCTTGAATCTCTTAGGTAGTCCAGGCTGGCCTTGAACTTGAGGAGATCCTCTGGCCTTAGCCTCCCAAGTGTTGAGATTACAGGTGTATGCCTTCAAGTATCTTCAGGTACTTGAAGATATTTTTATTCCCAGTCCCTGATATGTACTACATATTTGTTCATGCTATCCTATGGGAAAAAAATGAACAGATGATTAGCTTCATATAAGTAAGAAGCCTGGGGTAGGAAAACTTTCCACATGGTTAAACCACCTTAGCAATTTTGTTAAAAAAAATGTAAAGTGGGACTTTATTTAGACAGGGTTTAGACTTACTATTTTCTTTAGTTCTCAGTGGCAGAATTAAGAGGAAGGCTGAGGAACAGCAGTTCGAGTTGGGTCGCTGTGAGGTCACGGGGTCTGTGGGAGGAGGTTTGTGTGCACGGGGCTGAGTGATGTGGGCGTTCTGAGGTGGGAAGGTGGTGTTGTGCTCCGTGCATCCCAGTCCCCGGCACCGAGCTCGGTGCAGAGCAGGTGTTGAGACACTTGGATGGGTCACAGGAACGAAGCATATTTGTCTTCAGAAACTTGAGAGGTGATTGTTGTGGAATTTTACTAAGAGAAAGTAGCTTGGAGCCATGTAACTTCTTCGATCCAGTGATCGTAGCACATGGTTTCATGACTAGGAATAATACTCTTCGTGTTTCACATTTTTTTATTTGAAGTAAATTTTACTTACTGTGTGTTTCTACTCACTGGGTTAAAAGGCAAGAATATAACAGTGGTAACGTGAGACATGCAAAGGGGATCGCACGCAAAGGTCTGCGTATTAAGCCAGTGTACAGTATATAACTTACTTGCCTAAGATCACTTCAGTACTGTGTGAGGATTTTCACTTCAAAGCAGTTGTCCTTTGTTACTGTGCTATTTCATAAATCGTTAGTGGTCGGCATGTAGCATTCCTAGGAAATAATGTGGTCTTTAAATGATCACTTACACTTTGATAAAGCCATCACTTATGATGCAAAAACGTTGGCGTCATCTGTGACTCTCCACAGTCACGTGGGCAAGAAACCTGGGGGTTCGATCTGCAAAATATATGCCAAGTCTAGCTTGTCTTCACACCACCCCCTTCTCGTTCCTGCCGGGCCCCTCTGTCCTGTGTCTGGATGGTGATAGCGTTCTCTGACTATAATCTTTCCTTCCGCCCTTGCGTCCCTGTGGTCTGCATCCAGCAGCTGGCATGGGCACAAGTAAGAGCATGTCACCTTTCTGCTCAAAGCCCTTCAGTAGCTTTTTCTCCGCTGAACAAAAGCCAGAGTCATTCAGGAGTCTTCAAGGCCAAACACAGCGTGGTCCTTGCTATTTCGTTGTCCTTGTCTGGATTGCTCAGATGTTAGGACTCAGGTCACCCTGTTTAAAAGAGAATGGGTCAGCAGGATCTTCTCTTCCTCTGTTAATGAGCAGTTACCTCTCCCCTTGACGTCTTTGGAATACAGTGTTACCCCAGTTCAGGAACTGAGTTTATTCTGTAATTTTGGAAAAGGTAGCCTCGTTTTGTGTAGGAAGTATGGCAGCAGTTGTGTGCCTCACCAGATGTAGAGTTTGCAAATGAGGTACTTCTGTGTCTGTTTCTTCCTTCTGTATCCTCTTTCTGCTATTTCTAGCTTTTCTACTATTGATACATAGAAGTGGGATTAGACAGGAATTACTATGGCTCCCTCTTGGCTGCCAATCCCCGTGCAGTTTTTCTGATACTGGAGATCTAGGGTAGCTCCACCCCTTTCAGCTCCTGCCCTCAGCCTCCGCTTGGAAACCTCCCACGTCACTTCCTCCTGGGGAGGGGGGCAATTGCCCTGGGATGGACGCTTAGATGAGCTCTGTCGAGATGATCCAACACCCTGCTGCCTTCCTCACTTTGTGGTAGGCCCCAGGAGACCAACCCACTCTTGCCGTGGCAGCCAGCGAGTTGCTCAGCCTTACTGCTTTGCTCTGCCTCCCCTCCTTCCAGCTCTCTCCACTTGCTGAAGCACAAGAAGAGCAGAAAGCAGGTCAGTTGCGTTAGCAGGTGCCCAGCGAAGGGCATCCAGCTTCAGGTTCTTCTACCTGTGGTCCTCTCATATTTGCGGGTGAACGAGCCAGAGCAAGGGAAGTGCAAGTGGTTTGGGGGTGGTTTCCCTCCTTCAAGGGGAAGGCTGAGCATCCTTTCTCTGGCCCAGCAACTTTGAGCTTCCAAGGCTCTCCCCCCAGTCCTAATATTTGCTTATACTGGTCCTGGTGGGATGATTTATGGTAGAAGCCAGTCTGGTTCTTTCCCATCCCTTCTTTCCTCTTTCTATCCCCCCCCCCCACCATTTTTCTCCCCAGTAGTGGAATTGATCTCAGGGCTTTTGTACTGAGCTGTAGCCTAGGCTGTTTGTTACTTTATATTTTGAGACAGGATGTCACTAAGTCCAGCCAGGCATGGTAGTGCATGCTTGTAATCCCAGTTTTGGGGAGGCTGAAGCAGGAGGATTTCTGCAAGTTTGAGGCCAGCTTAGGCTATATAATTAGTCCAGTGGCAACCTGAACTATGCAGCAAGACCCTGTCTCAAAAAAACAAAAACAAAAAAAAAAAAAAAAAACTAAAGTCACTCAGTTGCCTCAGGATGGACTCAAATTTGTGGTCTTTCTCAGCCTTCTGGAGTCCTGGGATTGGACATGAACCACCGTACCAGGCAGCAGTTCTTTTTTTTTTTTTTTTTTTTTCCATAATTTTATTGAGAGACAAATAGCAATGAGACAGTTTCAAACCAAATTGGTATGACAGTTCCAATAATTAACACATTGCATACTCTCTTCCTAGTGGTTATTTGCTGTACAAGATGCAGATATGATATCCTATTTACAAATACCATTAGAACAATTCCCTCTATTCATTAAGAGAATGTAACTATATATCTATCCTAACCATTTTGAATACACAGATACAAAATGGACATTCATTTATATATCCCCTTTTTTTGTTTAGTTATGTCATTTGAATATTATAGGTGTGTCAACTCAGCAAAATATTCTAAAAGAGTCCAGTAATCCATAATAGTATTGAGTTTCCATTTGACTGGCAGTGTCAGAAATTGTTGACCTGAGTCCCCTACAGCTCAACATAACAGCACGGCTTTACTTCTTATACTTCATTTTTATATACTTTTCTGCTGGATGGTTAAGACCAAGATAAAGCAAGACCTGTGCAACAAGAGTTGTAATAACAATAAGCTTGTCTTCTGGATGGTTAACAACCTAAGTTTGCAGACCAAAATTAGAGAAAAAGGAGGGCCGCAAGGAAAGCCAACATTTTAGCCCTAGCCTTCCAAGGTCAATTAAGACTCAGGACATATGAGATCTTGTACTGTAACGTCATGTAACTCGGTAGTGTCCCAGATTTTCTGATCAAGGAGATTATGGGGCCAAAGAGGAAAGTGATCAATGATGTAGAATGTGCCTAAGGAGAGTCACATGGAGAGAAAACATTCTCTCAGGCTTTCACAGAGAGCACATTGGCCAAGCAATGGCTGTGACTCATCCACATAGCGGACACTGACAAAGGCTCTACAATCTGAGGTACAGGATCTCAGGATAAATCCTGAGGGGGTTTGACTGACCTTATCCGATCCAAAAGCAGTTCTTTTTAGAATGTAGTGGTACCAACAGTTAGTTTTCAGTTCTTGGATTTTAGCTTCTATTCTGAGCTACAGAAGAAGATTGATCATCCAGAATCTTGGTACATATGACATTTATACTTTAAAGAAGGCTCATTTTAGAGTATGAACTCTTAGGAGGATGGACATTCTTGGATAGTTTTTCTGAATGTAGCTTAATTGAGAAACGCCCTTATTTTAATATGTAATATTTGGCCATAAAACATTGGGCCCAATCCAAGTTGCTGTTTACTCTGATTTGTTGTAATGTATGTGTCTGCGCTTTCAGATATGCAGGTGGTATGTTCTAGAGAACCAGGATTCTTGTCTTACCTGTGAGTTCTTGGCCCTCTGAAAAGAAAGCGGGCTTAATTTATCTTCACCCTGCATAAGTGTGTGATAGAAAAGGACCTCGACTGACTACTGATTGTCCCCAGGACCAGCCTAGCTCTTCACTTACAGTCTAAAGGATGATTTGTTTCCCTTGCCAGTTAGAGTCATGAGACATGCTTCAATCTTACAGTATGGGTTATTCACACTTACTGAGCACGTATGGGGTAATCTCTTAATGTTTGAACATACGTTTTAGAAGTTCGGTTCCATGAAAAGTACCATAGACACTTGCTGGCTACTCACATGCACTGAGTTGTGAGTTATCATACTCACAAAACCAACCTGACTGTGCTTCATTTCCAGGGTGAAAAGGAGCAGCCTGTGTTTGCAATGACTGGCCTTCGATGGGGATCCTTCCGAGATGCTGGCATCAAAGTTAGCAAGTAAAGAATTCATTTTTTTTTTTTTTTAAACACATCCTGCCTCAGGTTTATTGGTACAAAGAGCACAGAAGGACACCAGCCACCCACAGATAGCACTCCAGGGATCACACCAGTCCTTCTGTTTCTACATCAGCAGATAAGAGGCTCTTACTGTGGAGCCTTCACAGGGGCCTGGGCACCTTTAGGGACCTGGGCACCTTTGAGAGTCTTGGCTGGAGCAGAAGCTGGAACCTGGGCCTTGGCTGGAGTCTGGGCCTTTGCCAGTAAGGCCTGTGGCCCTTGGCAATGTGGGCACAGATACGCTTCCCAAACTTGGGATGGGCAATATAGGCAAGTCGAGTGAGCCTGCAGTTTACTGTTTTGGGGATGACCGTGGGCTTGATGAGGGCCTTGATAGTCTCGGCGCATGCACTCATGGCCTCGGCATTGTTTGCTTAGATCTTCTTGAAGCCCTTCTTGTTGTGCTTCTTGGAAAAATGTATGTTCCTACGGAACTTGGGATCTACCCCCTTCAGAGATTCGTATCTTTGTGCGCAAGGTTTCTTGATGCCGTTTCTGTGCCATTTTTGGGACTGGTTGTGCATGGTGTGGTTCTTGGACTTAGGCAGAACTGCATTGTAAAAGCTAGGATTCTTATATTGATGGGTGATGATGCTTTTAAAAAAATCTTGTTCTGTTTCTGCCTTAGAGAGATTTTAATGTACCATTATAAACTTAGTAGGCCTGGAGATTGAATTGGGGATGAATAATGGTAGAGGAACAATCAGGTAGCAGTTTCTTTCCCATACATAGAAAGTTCTAGTTTCCTTGTACCAGCTTGGTCGTAGCTAAAGGGAAGGGTGCTTGTCTAGTTTTAGACATAATATTTGAGTGTAGCTTAGGCTTATGCGAGACTGAAGGGGGCTGGACTGCCTGTCATCCAGTAGCACGCTTAGCTGGATACCAAGCAGAAGGCCCGCCTGGGCCTCAGCCTTGCAGAGCTCTTATTGTCCCGGTTGGAAGACTTTCCTAAGAGCTATTTTTTGAAGGCCTTGCAGATTGAGTGGCCACAGGCTGCCTCTTACAAAGAAGGAAGAAAGGCGGATGCCTGGCTGTGCTATGAGATGGAAGAACAGGCCTATATAGCAGCTGATTAGCAGGCCATTGGTAGCTTGCATGGGAATAGGCTTATTTTTGGAGAATCCATTGTATGAAATGAAACTCTGGGCTGGGAAGAGGGTGTGCCGGCTCCATTTGCTGTGGAGAGGTGGCGTAGGCAAAGGCTTCCTGAGGCAGAGCTGAAGGAGGCACCGCAGGAGCTTTATTTCATTCCCTGTGGGTGGTGGTTTTACTTTGCTTTTCCTCAATCCTATAGCATACAGTTTTAGGAGAGTTTATCTGAATTATGACTATTCTCACACACAGCTCTCTCATCAAGGAGCCCCTCTTGTACTTTTTAGGCCAGGCTGCCACACTTACTTTCTAGAAATTTCTTGAACTTGTTTCATTTTATGATTCCTGTTAATGAAATTCCTGGCAGCAGAATGTCAAAAGAGAGATATGACCACATTAGGTTACACAGTACAGTCTTCAATATTTCACATCCTTTCATTTGCAAGTTTGCCATGATTATGTTGAGTTCAAAAATTGCCCTGTGCTTGATGTGTAACCTCATTCCACCAGCTCACCAAGAGGAACTGCCGGGCTCCTCTGAAACATGGCCACGTTGGTTTCCAAAAGGTGTTCATCAGCAATCAAGTGCAAGCACAAGAGTAGTTCATACTCTTAGCCATGTTTTGATCGATTCTGAACAATGAATTTCAAAATCTTGCGGTCGTTCCATAAACCTTGGCTAATGAGTTAAGGCCACCGATTCGCTCTTTTGTGTGAAAAAGAAAAGGGGTACAAGAAATCATTCTGTTGTTGACCTAAAAAGACTATAAGCATTGTGTAAAAAAAAAAAAAATGCTATTGGAAGGAGAGAAGGGGGCTGTTGATCACTTAGAAATAAGCTGCAAAAAAGAAAGAGGAAAGAAACTGCCAGAGTCAAGTTATTTTTCTCCTTGGATAAAAAAAACCCAAACTCTGAAGCTTACACACACACACACACACACACACACACACACACACATTATAGTATTAATCTGAGTGATAATTTAGAGGGGCTTTCCATTGCTGTTGGATTTTATCTAAACTTTTTATTCTGGTATTCCAGGCACAACTTAATATGTCCTTGTCTCTGGTTAGAATGTAATCATGTGGCTTATTTTTAAGCTTTTCCTCCTTGCTGTCCTGTGTTCTCACTATCGCCTGTACCTTTGTGCCTCTTCTTGCCTAAAATGACTTCGTTCCTCTTTTATCTGAGTCCATCCTGCCCTGCTCCCCGTCGAGTTTCATGCCCTCACTGTGGTTTTGTGCCGCATTTACCCGCATGGCTGTTGCAGTGCTTTTAAACCATTAATGATACTCTCTCCCTTTGTTATTCCTCTTACCAATCATGGTCAGTTTTTATCATGACATATATGGTCACTTATTATTTTCTAGTACTTCAGGGAGGGC